TCGAGGAAGGATAATAGAATCGAGGTCGCGGCTTATGGTCTTCTGCGCGCCAAGAGGGCTCGGAGGGCTCGGAGGGCTCGAGCTTCCGAGCCCTCCAGACCCCTCCGAGCCCTACTGGAGCCCTCCAGCCCTCCGAGCCCTCCGAGCCCTCCGAGCCCTCCGAGCCCTCCGAGCCCTCCGAGCCCCCCGAGCCCGGTTCGGCGGCTCGCCCCTCCGAGCCCTCCGGGCACTCCATCCCTTGTGAGCCCTCCCGAGCCCTCACGAGCCCACCAGCGCCACCCTCGTGCCTCTCTGCCCTCTGAGCCCTCCGACCCCTCCGAGCTCTCCACCCCTCCCAAGCCCTCACGAGCCCTCCTACGCCTCGCTTTTGGCCAGCCCTCCCAGCCCCCACCCCTCCTGGGCCCTGCCGCCTGACACCTCTGCCGGTGGAGGGCTTTAGGTCACGGTCCACACTCCCGCCCTCCCGACCCCTCCACACCCCTACAGCGGCACCCCTACCCCTCCCGCCGTTTTAGGGCCTCCTGACCCGCACTCACACACCACAGAGCACAGTGAAATCTCCCTGTATGTGGTGTGTGGTGGCGGCGTGCCGTCCTCCCATCCCTCTTTTGAATTGTACGTTTCCCTTTCTTTCTTTTTTAGCTCCGGTCCTGGCGGTGTGAGGCTGATGACTGCACTCCAAGTACGGCTTTACCAAGACCAAGTAGTGCTCCAAGAGCGTGCTCGAAGAGGAAAGTAGGAAAAAGTCCCACAAACGCACAAAGAGGCCAAACCTCTCGTAAAATTCCCTTTGTGGCGGCGGCGTGCGCTGTCCCGTCCCCCTCTCCCTTCGGCTTCGCCCTTCTTCCTTCTTTTTAATCATACACGGTCGCCAGAGCGAGAGGAGACCTCTGAGTCCTGAGAGACGCGCCCGCCACAAGAGCTGGGCGCACCACACCCGTTCCCCGTGATCGTCATTCCAGTCCCCGGATCGCGCGTGCGGCGGGGAGACTGAGAGAGAGCGGCAGCAATCCCGCCTCTCTATCCGGCTCTCCCAGCCCGCCGCAAGCTGGCTCACCGCTGCCGCGGCCGGCCTCATCGCCCCCATCGCCATCCTCGGCCCATGCTCACCATCCACCTCCCGTTGACCCCGCCTCCCGCCGGCTCGACGCCCGCGCTGCATGCCGCGCGACAGCTCGGCGTTGCCCTCCCCCCGACCCTAGTCAAGCATCCATGCCGGCAGCGAGAAGGGCGTTCGCGTGCAAGCCCAGGATGCGGTCGCACTCCTACAGAGACACCGCCGGGCAAGCTGAGGCCCCGAGCGCGCCACGCCGCCCTTCGCCCTCCCTCCGGCTGCCTCGCGGTGCGGGCGAGGCCACGCCAGCGTCTGGCAGGCCTTCGAGCAGTAGCAGGCGCAGCGGCAGCGGCCGCACTTCCAGAGCCGGATGTATGGCGAGCCTGTCAGGCCGACCGCCTCCCGCTTCCGAACCTCCCTCTTGCGGAAGCGCCAGCGCACGCAGCCCGGCCGGTCGCAATAGTGGCGCGAGGCGGTCGCCTGAGGGACGCGTCGTGGACGTGTCGTGGACGTGCCGTGCACGCGTCGCGGGCGGCGCCGTGCCGCTCGCCTCCTCGCGGTCGCGCTCCGCAGACGGGCTAGCGAGGATGTTCTCGCTCGCGGTGAGCCAGGCCGGGGAGAAGACCTGCGGCGAGGGGGGGGCTCGGGTTAGGGTCAGGGCTAGTCGCGGTGAGCCAGGCCGGGGAGAGGCACAGGCCGGGAAGAGGCACAGGCGAGAGGCGCGGGGGCGGGGCGAGGCGAGAGTGTGCTGCTCGCTGCGACGGCTCGCTGCGACGGTCGCTGCTACTAGGCTGACTGCTACTAGGCTGGCTGCCCCGGACGCGTCGAGCGGCCGGCGGAGGCCAAGCGTCTGCAGGTGGCTCTTCGACGTGCCGTGCAGCTCGATCTGCGATGCGACGTGGCCCTCGGAGGCGGCACGCCGCAGCAACCGCTCCCTCTCGTCGCCGTCCTTGGTCAAGTGCCTGCTCGCCGGCGCCGCAGGGCGTGAGCGCGTAGCCAGCCGCGAGGGGGAGGCGGGAGGGGGAGGGGGAGGGGGAGGCGGGAGGGGGAGGGGGAGGGGCGAGGGGTGAGGGGGAGGGACGAGGGGCGAGGGGCGAGGGGCGAGGGGGGCAGGGGGGCAGGGGGGCAGGGGGGCAGGGGGGCAGGGGGGCAGGGGGGAGAGGGGAGGCCGCAGCTCGACCCCCCCCCTGCCCCTGAGGTACGCGCGGGGCAGAGAGAGGGTGCGGGGGGTGCGGAGGCGCCAGATCTCAAAGAGGGCGTCGCCTCGGAGGGCACCGAGGTTCTCTTCGGGAGGCGGCTCGGCGAGCGATTTGAGGAGGCGGAGCCCCTCCTCGTAACCCTCCCCCGCCTCCGCGGCCGAAGACTCGTACACTCGCGCGACTCCGAGGCGGAAGCGCGCGCTCGGGTTGCCGGCATCCGCGAGCCTCCTCAGGCAGGCGAGCGCGCCGTCCGCGCGCATCGGCGTGTCGGGGAGCTCGAGGCGCCGGGCGAAGGAGGGGCGCTGCCACGCCCGGAGCAGCGCACGGCACGAGGCCGCCGCGCGCGCAGCGTCCGCAATCTGCAGCGGGAGGCACTGCTCGAGGACGTCGTCGAAGAGGTCGGTCAGCCGAAGCGGGGCCTCCACGCGAGGACGCGTCCGGGGCCGCAGCGAGTACGTGGAGCGCGGCGTGGACGGATCGGGCGAGCTGCGCGGCATATGTCACAGAAGTCGTCCTAGTCCTATCGAAGGCGCTGGTCTGTGACCCTAGATGTTAAGTCTGTATTTTGTGTATTTGGACTTGGGCTGAAAACACAGTGTATTTTGTGTATTTGCTCCCACAAAGCCAGGATACACACTCGATGGGGACCACTAGATCCTACCAGCGCGCCGCAGGCGAAGGAAAATTTGCCGTATTTCGTGAGTTTTCATTGATTTTTCGCAGCTTTGACCAACATTTGACCTTGGGAGTCGGTCACTTGAAGACAGGTAATTGAGCTTTTTGGTATTTCGGATTGGGACTTGACCATTTGTGCATGTGACTCCCTGGTCTGCCAACCACCGGCACCGCCACCACTGACTGTGTATTTGGCTGTGTATTTGCTGTGTATTTGCTCACAGGCCAAAAACACAGTGTATTTTGTGTATTTGCTACCCCCACCCTGTGTATTTAACATCTAGGTCTGTGACAGAGGTTGTAGGTGTGTGGGTGTGTGTGTGTGTGTGTGTGTGTGTACTCACTCACGTGAGACTACCCGCGGGCCTAGAAGGCCCGCGCGCAGGGGGGTGGGACATTGAGACCGGTCATGAATGAGTGCGCGACACGCATGTTGCGAGCAGCGTTGTTGATGTTTTGCGCGTCGCCACAGACGGCGGCGCGCGAGAGCTGTTGCGAGTGGTGCTGGGCGAAGCCCCGGGCGCTGCCGGAGGCTGTGCGTAGTCGGTGCGGTCGACGGCGCTCGGGCTGCCGACCTCTTTGGCGAAGTTGAAGATGATGATTCTCTTGGTTGGCGGCGCGATCGATGGCCGATGCCGCAACACTGGCTTTCGACGAGACAAATTTTGACGATTCCGTTCTTGACATGGAGCGCGTCGTAGTACTGTCCCTTGTGCTCTTTGACCCAGCCTTTGCCGGTCGCATGGACGAGCGGGCCCTGTGACTTGTCGTGGCCGCGCTCTTTGCACCCAAGCAAGAAACCTTGAGCAAGGTTTGCATTGGTCGAGGGTGCCGCCGAAACCAAATTTGTGGCCCAGTGACGCACGTACAGCATTCGCCGTGTGCCGCCGAGCCCTGCCCAGCCTGCTGCCTCGTCTTCGTGAGGGCGCTAGGCACCTTGATTTCGTAGTGGACATCGCGCTGGGACTGCATGCAGGTCTCCGCCGATCTCACACATGTCCCTCGACGTTGAGATGAAAAGTCGTCTGAGGGTTCGCCTTGTCACCGAGCACGAGCTTGCCGCAGGCTCGTGCACGGACCATGGTTGGCCGCCGCATACATGGTGCCGTTGTGACGAATGTTGTGCTCGCACGGAATGTCCTTCGATCCGTATGCAAGCTGGTCGCCCTTCCGCATACCGATGGTGACTGTCTCACCAGCCGCCTCCTTGGCGTCGTACACGTACTTGGCGCAGGAAATGTAGTAGCCGTGGCGACAAGCTCACTGGTGGTGTGAGGATTCATTGCCCCACACTGTACAAGGTGCTGTGCAGACCTGAAGCGTGAAGGCTACCTGAGTACTGCCATGGTTGCTACATCAACAGGGGTGCAACTGAGCTGCAACTTGAGCTAGAACTTTTGAGAGGCTGCAACTGAGGGATGAAAGCACTGCCAGCCAAGTTTGAATTGCTGCTGCAACCCTGATTTTCTAAGTCTGTGACTCCAAATGGGTCTATACGTCTCTGCGCTGTGTTAGGATCATCAGAGGTGTCGAGCTGGTGTCGAGGTGGTGTCGAGCCGGTGTCGAGCGGTGTCGAGGGGAGGGTGTCGAGGTGTCGAGTTTGGCACCTTGACACGGAGACGAGCATGGCAACACCTAGATGGTGTCGAGATGGTGTCGAGGGGTGTCGAGGGGTGTCGAGGGTGTCGAGTTGGCAAGGCCAGGGGGTGTCGAGGTGTCGAGTTGGTGTCGAGGTTTTGGTGTCGAGGTGTCGAGGCCAGGGCTCAGCTTCTTCTCCTGCGCCAGTCCCCGCGAAATCCACTATATAGCGCCACCTCGTGAGCTGTCCTGTGAGCTGTGTGTGTGCTGTGCGTCCAGCAGTCCGGACCCAGTGCTACAGCCGGTGACAGCGCGCCTCGCTCGTGTCGGCTCCCGCCCGCCCGAGCCCAATCAATCGTGTGCAGCGTGTGTGTGCGTGTGGGCCCGTCCTCGGTGCTACGAGGTGGGAAAGACTGATGACCGACTTGAAGTCCTCGCATAACGGAATACGGAAAAGAATTCAACAAATACAACTCTGCTCTCTGGCTCCCAGCCTCCTCACAGCACACAGACAGCCGTCTGGAAAAGAATTTTACAACCACGCTCCCTCGCACGACACTGGCAGAATCACTGGGCACGGGACTGGCGCGCACTGGCACTGACGCAGGTACACCACGGGAGCCGCCTAAGCGACTCCTGCGAGGACGGCGAGGCACTTAGCTCCGTGCACTCGACCGCCCTCGCTCGCGCTCGCCGCAGGCAAGCTCATTCACAGCCTTGTTATTGAGAAGAAAATACCATATTCACACATAAACGCACAATTCACAATCTGCTCTGCGATGGCTGTGTGAAGAACGACTACGTGCTTCTGCAGCATCAAAGGACTATGATTTGGAAAAGAATTTTACAACTTTACTCCCAGGTAGGTAGGGTCGGGCACCGCACTGGAAAAGAAACGCGCGCGCGCGCCTTCGCGCTCTCAGGGATTAGCCCCACTCGCATGAGCCGGCCAAGTTCCTCATCGTCGGGCGAGCCCTCGGGCTGGAGGCTCGTCAACTCGCTGCTCGGTTCCGCGCGACGAAAGTCGGCTGGCCTCCTCACTGGCGCTTTGCGGAGCGTCGGCCTCTCCCGGGCACGCCGCGTGCGCTTTCAGCCAAACTGCACGGTGCTCGAGTTTGAACGAGAGCTGTTTGGCGGCGGCGGCGTGCCGGAAGCGGACAATGTGTCCCTCGGCCTGAGCCCCAAACTCTTCGGCACCTACAGCGTCACCCTCGCCGATAAGCACGGCAAGGACGAGTACGCGGCGAGCGGCTACCTCGAGTCGAGCGTCAAAGCGCAGCTGCTCTCTCAGTGCGCCGCTCGCCGTGCCGCCGCCGCCGCCCGCCGCCCACGCCTCCCCTCGCCAGCCCGCACGCCCGCCGCCGCGCGCCGCCGTCGCACGCCGCACGCCGCACGCCGCCCCCTCCCCACTCCCTCCTCGCCCCAGCCCACGGTCGCCTCTCGCAGGTGGGAGGACGAGCCGGTGCTGGAGGAGAGGCTGGAGGTGGCGTCGGAGATCGAGCGCACGCGCAGGCCGCACCTCCCCGCTCCGTCGGCCCGCCCGGGCCTCACTCCCCCCCCACTCGCCCGCCCGCTTGCCTTGCGCAGGGAGAGGCAGGAGAGCGCCTCGAGCCGAAGAGACCAGCGCCAGATGCCCGCAAACACTGAGGAGGCGCTCGAGGTGGCCGCCAAGGACGCGATGGCGGCGCGGGAGGCCGCCCGGCCGCGCAAGGCCAGACCCACCCCAGGCGCCGGCGGGGAGGTGACGCCGACTTCTGCTGCGCCCGCCCAGCTCAGCCACCCCTCCCCACCCCTCTTCCCGCCAGGCGGCAGCCCGCCGAGCGGTGGAAAGGGCAAGGCGGCGGCGAGCCGCGGCATCCAGAAGCGCGCCCGCACCTCGCGGAAATAGCCTGCCGCCCTCTCCCCGTCCCCTCTTCTTCCAATCGTTCCTCATCTCCACATCCTGCGCTCTCTCCACCGACTCTGCTCCCCACGCCTCTTGGGCTGAGGAAGCGATACGTGTCGATAATAGCGGATTGCCGTGGCTCGCCCAGCTGAGCTCACCGCTGGGTGGCACCCTCCCTCGAGGCAGGGAGCACAGCGCAGCCTCTAACCTCGTCTCCCCCAACCGCGCGGGGCCCCGCGCGAGCCGCGAGCTGGGCGAGCTCCGCGCGTGAGCCGTGTGTCCTTCTCTCACAGTCTGCTGTGCAAAATTGTCCAACGATGGCATAAAAGCTTGCGGGTCGCACGCCAACTATCATGAATCGCATTCGTATCCTCTCGGAGACCCCTCGCCTAAACAAAACGAAAACGCGGCCCAGGGGGCCGTCACACGGACATAACACACGGAACAGCACACCAGCTGAGCGAGGGGCACGCCCGGGAAGAGACACCCGGTGAATCACCTGCGTCGCAACCGAAGCGTCTGGGCTCGCGGATGGGACGCGAGACGCGCCTGAATTGAGACGAGGCGCAGCAGCGCAACTCCGCTGACGCGCCCATTCTAGCGCTGTCGTGTCCGTGCGCGGCCGAGGCGAATCTAGCGGCTGTTGTCGTGCGTGACCGCGACCGTCCGCTTGCCCCACGGGTCGTCCATCTTGCTGAAGTCGGGGCCCGAAGGCTTGGGCGCGGGCGCTGGCTTGGGCTTGACAGCCTCCTCCTTCGGCGCCTCCTCCGTCGGGGCCGCCTCCATGCGCACGGCGGCGCCGACGCGGCGCAGGGTTGCCGGGGGCGCACGCGCGGACAGCGTGAGGCCACTCGCGGCGGCGATGAGGCAGAGAAAGGCGAGGAAGAGTGACTTCATTGAGCGAGGTGCGCTCGGTTTTTCTTCTTTTGATACATCCAAAGAGATAAAGCGGACAACACAAGAACACAACGCACTCCTCCTCACATGACAAGCGATCCCACGACAGCGATTGTGGGAACCACATGCTCTGCGCTTGCGTCCCAGAGTGCCCTCGCGCAGAACCGACGCATCTCTCACAACTCATCAGCACTCCGTTCTCGTAACTACACTCGTCCGGCCGCAAATAGCCGATCCCTCGACGCCGTCGCGCCTGCCTCGGCGGGCGCACGTGGGCAGCCAGTTGATGGCAGCAGCTCCAATGGATGCGACATGCGAGACACGCCATCGACGGCCACGTAGGCAATGCCACGCCGCCACAGAGGACTGCTACACGATTGTGCCCGTGCCTCGGTATTTATCTCTCGTTGTCCGCAGTAGGTGCAGACCAAGCCCGAGTTCTCGTCCAGCTCACCATTCGGGACGTAGATGCACCCAACAATGCCGACAATGTTTACACGGTACATACAAAACACAGCCGTCGGCGGCTGTGTGTCGCTCAGCCTGTTCATCAATTACGCAGGCCGACCAGTCGTGATCGTCTGGGCGGTACTGGTGCAGCCGCCTCGTGCCCAGAACTGTATGCGCGACATCCGATTGCTGGCGCAGTCGACAGACACGCAGCCACGTGCCATTATTTCTACGTCCCGGGCATCGTACAACTCGTGGAGTACGTTACCAAGGATGCAGTGCAGTATGTCGCTCTACACGATGCTGCTCTGTTTCGACAGCGAGCCCAGCGACGATGGAATGCCGTGAAGCGCCTCTCGGTGCGAGTGAATGCAGCTGCAGCTGCTTTCCGAGAGATGTATGCCCACATGTTCTATCAGCCTGGCGGGCGAGGTGCCCAGGAGGCGTGCGAGAGCTTTCAAGAGGGGTGAGCTCGGGTGCGAGAGCTGCCCTTACGCGTGTCTCGATTCTCACACTCGCTGTGTTCTCTCGGCACACATGTCGGCACACTTATCACTCTTTCAGCACAATCATCACAGTTGTCCTGTGCTCCTGGAGCAGTGTCGAGCTCTCGAGTCTCAAGCACGTCAACAATCTCCGTGCCTGGTGCGCACGGAGAGCGCAGCGCTCTTCAGCTCAGACACAGACTTTTCCCCCACGTGCGCCAAAGGACTGAGGTTACAAACAATCCTCCTCTGATCCTCCTGAGGTTGACCGTACCCCGCTCCGTTCATCATGGTGTACCCGCGGGATCCCGGCTCGTAAGCGGGGTTCTCACTGCTCTGGTACTTGTTTTGCCCCTGCGCTCGAGCCCCTGCGAGGTACCAGAGCTGCACGTCATGAGCAGCATTCAGAGGACAATGCGCACGTGCACGAGGGGAGCGTCAGGGGCAGGGGTGTCCGTGCCTGCAGCGCGAGGCATCCCGAACAGCAGAGCTCCGTCATGCCACCTTGAAAGAGCTTGTAGGCTGCGCCTTGAGAGGCTGCTGGAACGAGTGCTGCACCTCAAAGAACTTGGCGCTCTTTGCGGACGTTGAGCGTGAGCGTCATCGGCGACTCGTCTGGGGCCGGCATGTCCCTGAAGCCATCGGTGCCCGGATCGGGCCGCCTCTGGGACCCTCCCAGCCACGCGGGACGGCCCTGCGGCACGCCTTGCTTGCCCGGGCGGGCCTGTATGTACCGCGAGTGCATGGATGGATCAGATTCGAGGCGAGGCTGTGAGGCTGATGAGTAGTGGTTCCGCGGCTGTGTACATTCCTTTCGTGCAAAGCTCGCTTCCGAGCTCTCACGCCGCGCGTAGGGCCCTTAGGGGCCTAGAGAACACAACGCCCTCTTTCTTTTCTCCCAGTAAGCTAAGTACGTACGTACATGAAGGGTGGAGGGGCCCGTCCGCGGAGCTACGAGTATCCAAGAACCAGTCATGAATTCTGTGGGACGGCCGCCAGAGCGGCGGAGGGCAGTACTGCTACCGCAGGACGCTGACGCCGCGCTCCTCAGCGCTGCGTAGCGCCGCATGTGCCAGGCCAGCTTCGGCGCACACTCCGCCGCGACGCCGATGCTGCAACAAGGCTCGCCGGCCGGCGAGCGTGCGTCTAGCTTGACGGCCAACTTGGAGCGGGCCGTCGCGGCCGGGAGCCTTGCGCGACATCAGGCTCTGCGATCGGCCTGGTTTGCCTGGCGGCGCCACAACCAGCAGCGGCGGCGGGTGGCCGCGGTGCTCACCTTTGCGGCTGTCGGAGACGTCGCCTACGCCTTCCATGCGTGGGCAAGGCGCAGCAGGGCCGCCAGCCTCGAGCTGGTCGGCGCGCACCTCTTCTGGTGCTCGAGCCGCCGCCGCGCGCTCCGTGCGTGGCGGCGCGCAGCCCGCCAGCCGGCTGGTGGGGCGCGGCTCGCCGACGCGGCGATCTCTCCGCCCTCCACGCCGCCGCGTGCTCGGCCGCCGCCTCCCGACCACTGCGACTCTTGCGGCTCGGATGCCCCCTCGTGGCTCCGCTCGGCGGCCGCCGGCCTCGACTCGCCGGCGCAGCTGCGCTCGGCGGCGGTCGAGTCGCCGCCGTCTGCGGCAACGACGCCGCGCTCGCGGCTCTCGTCGGACGGCACTGCTCCCGCCGCGGGCGGAGACTCGCTCCCAGAGTGGCTGCAGTCTGCCGCGGGCAACCTGTTGCGGCTCTCGGCTCCCGCCCCGGCCCAGGGCAACCCGGCGAGCAGCCCGGCGGCTCGGCTGCTCGCCGCCAGGCTGGAGGCGCCGGTCCCGCCGGCCGCCGCCTCGCCGGACTCCCCCCGCGAGCTCACCATCGCCGTGCACAAGGCCTCCTCCGCAGACCGGCTCGGCGTCTCCTTTGTGCAGGCAGCGCGGGCGGCCCTCCCCAAACACCCACCCTCCAAGGCGACACCCTGAGAGCCACAAAGCCCCCCCCCCCCCCCCCTCCCCAATCCGAGCCCGAGCCTCTCCGCAGGACGGGAGCCGCCCGCCGCTCATCCGCAAGCTCGCCGCCGGAGGGCAGGCCGAGGCGGCCGGCCTGCTCGCCGGCGACCGGCTCATCTCCATCTCTGGCGTGAGCTGCACGGACGGGCGGTCGGCCGCAGAGCAGCTCCGCGCGACGCACGGCGCGCTGCTCCTGCGGGTCCAGCGGCGGGACATGTCTCGGACATGTCTCGCCCCTTTGGGAGGCGCGAGTGCGGGCGGGGTAGCCGCGCCGCCCGCAGCGGCACAGGCTGCCGAGGCGGAGGCTGCGGCGACGGCGGAGGCCGCGGCGAAGGAGGAGGCCGCGGCGATGGCGGAGGCGGCAGCGATGGCGGAGGATGCGGCGGAGGCAGGGTCTACGGCGAAGGCGGAGGCTGCGACGGCTCATGACAGCGCGCACCCGTGGCTGCCTCGCAACTCCCGAGGCTGCAGCCACTTCTAAGGGAGAGGAGTGCGTCTTTAGGCAGCTGCGAGTGCGAGGCGTGCCAGAGAAGGCCGGTGTGGGCGTGCAGCCATTGCCGCCGACGCGGCCTAACTTTTGCCGAGGCCGACCTCTGTGAGCGCCGCCACACCGAGGCGGCGGCGGCGGCGGCGGCGCGGGAAGCGGCAGCCCGTTCGGCAACTCGACTGCAGGCGGCCGCACGCCACAAGCAGGCCCACGCCAGAGTGAGCAACGCTCGTCTCGCAGCGGCGGAGGCGGCGGCGGCGGTGGAGGCCGAGGCAGCGGCGGTGGCGGCGCAGGGGGCTCGCGTTGCTGCGGCGAATGCTGCGCAGGCGGCGGCGGCAGAGGCGGCGGCGGCAGAGGCGGCGGCGGCAGAGGCGGCGGCGGCAGAGGCTGCGGCAGTCGGGCACGGTACAGAGGCGGCGCGGGAAGAGGCGGTGCCGACAGAGGATGCGCCGCAGCGGGTCGGGGCGCATTGGCGCGTCGAGGCGGCGCGGGCGCACGGGCGGGTGGAACGACACGGGCGGGTGGACACACGGCACGGGCGGATGGAGGCGGCTCGCGCCTCCGCCTCCGAGCAGCGCGCTGCTCGCCCTCCGAGCGACAGGGCTGCGGCGGGCGGGCCGAGCCGAGCGGCAAAGGCGCTGCCCGGTCCGAGCCCGCTTTCGCAGCAGTCGGGCGCGCTGCAGCAGGCGGAGGCGAGGCGGGGCGGGCAGACCTCCCGACACCCTCCCCAGACTGTTTCCCCCTCCCTGCGGCAGGTGGAGGCGTGGAGAGCCGCCGAGCTCGCACGCGTCGCCCGGGAGACGGCGGAGTGGGAGGCCCAGCGTGCGAAGGCGCGCGCCGCGGACCGCTCGTCGCTGGTGCGCGAGATCGAGGCGGCGGAGGCGCGCACGAGTGCGCTGGCCGAGCGCATCGCAAGCCAGGCGGCGCGCCTCGCCTCCTCTCCGCAGGCAGTCCGCACGTCGGCGGAGAGGGCGAAGACGCAGCACACGGCGCGTTTGGCCGCCGAGAAGGCGGCGGCGGACGTCGCGGAGCGCTTGGCAGCAGACATGGCCGCCGCAACCGCCGCCGCGGAGCGAGCGGCGGCGGCCGCCACCGCCGCCGCCGCCGCCGGGGGTTCGGCGGCGATGGACGCGACGGCAGGCCCTCTCGGGAAGCCGTCTGCAGGGCGGTGCTCGTCTGGCGTGGCGCCGGTGGTGGCCCCCCAGGCTAGCTCAGGCGTCGCCATCGATGCGGGAGCTGGTGTGAGAGGCGTAGCAAGGCCTCGACCGGCGGAACGACCGGCGCCGGCGCGGCCGCCCTCGCTTGCAGAGCAGATGCTGAGCGGCTGCACTGCGCCATGGTGGAACGAGGCGAGGGAGGTGGTGCGAAGCTTGACGCCGACGCTCGCCCGACCCTCAGCGCCAAAGCTCGAGCACGTCTTTTTCGGGGACGATGACCGGCAGGCATTGCAAGCCCAGCGGCCCTCCACAATGGAGATCGATTGAGGCGACAGCCCCGTTTTAGGGGCCAAGCCATTTTTCTTGGTGGGAAAGGAGGGGGATTTCCCCCCCATGGGCCCCCCGGAGGGCGAGACGAGCCCAATCAGGGATGGGAAAAAATTTTTAGGTAAAAAAGGGAGCGGGGCAACCGGCCCCTTGGCAGGAAAAATTTTGCAAAAATTGAATTCAAAGGGCAAAAAAAAATTTTTTTCGAAAAAAAAAATCAAAGGGGGGGGTGTTTGATTTGACTGGGGGGCTTTTGGGGGGGAATCAAAAAAAAAGGGAGGGCAGGTTTGGACTCAGTGCTTTCCAGGGGAACCGGGGTACATTCCAACCCGGAGAGGGGGGGGAGCCCCCCGAACTTTCCGAGGTTTCGGGGGGTACGGGGGGAGGGGCACCCAGGTTGGCCCCCCCCCCCCCCCCCCCCCGGGCACGGCAGAGGGGGCGGCGCCCGCCCCCCATCCTCTCCGCCGCCTCACTTGAAGTCCGCCTGACTCGGGAAGACCTCGTGCTCGTACCGGCCGTGGTTCTCCACCCACCCGTTCGCTCCGGCGAGCTGGTTGCGCACGTCGCGGTAAAAGGAGTGGAACTGAAGCACGTCCCCCGCCTGCCGGTCTATGTGCACCTCCGACTTGTCCTCGGCGGACGGGTTGACGCGGATCCGCACGCACAGCCTGCCCTCCGAGTACTTTGACGGGGAGGCCGGCTCGAGCTCGAGCGCGGCGCCTGCAGGGGCGCCGCCTCCGCCCTTCCCACCGCCCTCACCGTCGGCCGGCCCGCTCTCGCCCCTGCCCCGGCCAGCCGGCACATCGCCGCCGCTGCCGTTGCCCGCCGCGCCGCCGTTGCTGCTGCCCGCGTGCGCGGCGTCTGCAGCCTCGGCGGCGGGCGGCTCGTTGCTGCTGCTGCGGCTGATGTGGCTGGCGGCGGCCACCTCGGGCGTCGGCTCCTCCCCCCCCACCCACACGACGTCAGTCAGCTCGCCCTTGACCACCTGGCGGAAGGGTCCGGTGCGGCTCGCGCGAGGCTGCTGGGGGCGAGCCCCTCGCAGCGTGGCCAACAGGGTACTTGACGCCCATCGAGTCCAGGAAGTGTCTAGAAAGTGTCTAGGAAGAGTCTAGGAAGTGCAACCTCGTACTTGACGCCCATCGAGTCCAGCGCGCTCGCCACATCGCCGACCATCTTCTCCTTCTCCTCGGGGAGCTGCACCCAGCCCAGCGACCGGACGAGCATGCCTAGAACGTTCCTAGAAGGCTCCTAGAAGGCTCCTAGAAGCAGCCCAGCAGCGGGCGGACGAGCACGCCGTTGACGCCCGGCGGGACCTCTTCTGGCGCATCGTTGGCGCCGAGCAGCGCGGGGGCAGGCCGCGGGCTCGTCGCCTGACGGGGTGGGACGGGGGGGGGGGGGGGGGGCGTCGATCAGCGCGTGGCAAGGGCCCCTTCCCGCGCACTCTCCGCCGCCGCCTCGTCGCCGGCCGCCTGCCGCTTGGCCGCCGCCTCCGCCTCGCTGCCGCTGCGCCGCCGCTTGGGCGTGCCGCCCTCCTCCCCGGCCAGGTCCGCGCCGGCCTCGGCGCCGGTCGCCTTGCCCACTTTGTCTGCCTTGTCCATGGTCTTGTCGCCGAGCTCGACAGACCACTTTCGGGTTTGCGGCGGTTCGGCGGGCGGGACCGCGCGGGTCGGCTTCTCTGGGCGAGCAGCGGCGACCCACGCGGCGGCGAGCACGCCCTTGGCGGAGAGGCGGCTGCGGGGCGAGGGCTCGGTGAGGAGGAGCGGCTCTGGGGAGGGCGTGGGAGAGGCGGCTCGCGGGGAGAAGAGCTCGTGGGGAGAAGAGCTCGTGGGGAGAAGAGCTCGTGGGGAGAAGAGCTCGTGGGGAGAAGAGCTCGTGGGGAGAAGAGCTCGTGGGGAGAAGAGCTCGTGGGGAAGGGTCAGGGGAGGGCAGGAGGCGTCGGGGGAGGGGGTGTGCTAGGGAGCGTACCGGGCGGGGTTGGGCTCGAGCATCGCGACGAGGATGCTGCTCGCGTCGGCCGAGAAGCCGGACGCGTCGCAGAGGACCGCCATGCCTCGCTCCTGTAATGAGACACAAGCGACGGTGAGCGCGCATCTCCCTGAAGCGAGGACCGCCGCGCCGCGCTCCTCGACGACGGCATAGCGCGTGCACTTCCGCGCGTTGGCGACCTGCGCGGCGGTGGCGGAGGGGGCGGCGGCGCTCGGCAGCTGCCGCGCGCTCTGCAACCCCCTCTCCCCTCTCCCCTCCTCCCTCCCTCCCCACTTTGGGCGCGTCGGTGCCCGCCGCGCCTGGAAGGGCAGCGCGCCAGACAGCATCGAGTAGAGGATGACGCCGAGCGACCAGATGTCGGCCTAGAGCCGGGGTGAGGCGGCGGGTGCGGGCGCGGGTGCGGGTGACGCCCGCCCACCCGGTCTGGTGAGCTGCAGCACCTTGGCCGCGTCGTACCCTCGCGATGCGTCCGAGACGAGCACCTCTGGCGCGGCATACATGAGCGAGCCGCACTTTGTGTGCCGCAGGAAGGAGGCGTCCTCGCGCACCTGGCCGACCATCGCGGCGAGGCCTACGCAGAGAGCGAGGGCCGACTCACCCCGCCGCGCGCATCCCCTCTCCCCGCCCGGCGCTTCTCTCGGCGCCAAAGTCTGCAATCTTGACGCGGTCTTGCTGCGAGAGGAGAATGTTTTCAGGCTTGAGGTCGCGGTGGTAGACGTTGAGCCCGTGGCAGTGCTCGATCGCGAGCGCCATCTGCACCAAGTACTGCCTCGCCTGGTCCTCCTCCAGCTTGCCGCACTCGGCGATCCGGTCAAAGAGCTCGCCGCCTTGGCAGAGCTCCATCACCATGTAGACCCGCTTCCGGTCGAGGTCGACCTGCGTGCCCAACAGCCGCACGATGTTGGGGTGGTCCACCTTGGCCATCGCGACCAGCTCCTTGGCCACTGCCCCCATCACCGCCGTCGGCATCACCTTGATCGCAACCATCTCCCCCGACTCCACATGCCGCGCAAGCCGCACGACGCCGTGCGCGCCCGAGCCGAGCGCGCCGAGCGGCCCGAGCTCGAACTTGTACGCGCCGTCCGGCGTGTGCGTGGTCGCCCCGCGCGAGGGGCCAGCACCGCCGGGAGACTGCGGCTCCATCTCGGTGCGTGCAGGACCGAAGCTCGCCGCCCTCCGGTGTGGAGGGCGATCCGTAGACTCAACAAAGAACTTTGATGCCTGAGTAGCCACGCGACAGGATGTGTTTTAGGTGTATTGTTGGCAAATCAAGACACAGAGCTCACACAGAATCACAGCGGGAGGAAAGCGGCGAGTCGCAATTCCTGGGGTCCTTGTGGCGGGCCGTAGTGAGAGACTGCCGGTGAGAAGCCGGAGGAAGGTCGCTAGACTGACTGATGAGACCACCAGTGGAGTTGGGATTCCACCGTGCACCGCGCGTCCTTCCAAAATCCTGCTCGTGCAGGTGTGGACCCTGTCCTCCTCCCCCATCTATCTATCCCTCGTTTGCGTTGTTGTTTTCTTTCTTTCTTTTTCAGGATGAAGCGACAGGAAGGAGAACGACGAGAGTGGGACGACCGCGAGGTGGCATGAAGGTTGCAGCGAGAATCGGCGAGGGACTGAGAAGAGAGATAGGAAGAGGCAGACTCCCAAGGGTGGGCGACGGCTAGCACCACCACCACCACACTCCTCTCCTTAAAATCCCTGTGTGGTGGCGGCGTACCGTCCTCCCATCCCTCCCTTGGGCTGTATGTTTTCTTTCTTTCTTCCTTAAAAAAGAAGTGCGACCGCCGGCGTCTGATGAGATGTAATTTCTTTTTCGCTCCAGTGGTGTACCACCACACAGGGATTTTAAGCCTGTTGCCAGGGTTCCGGCTCCTAGCCAGATAGGGGGGTCTGTTCCCACTGAGTCGCGCCAAAACGCCCTACCTACCTACCTATTGCGGGCGCCAACCGCCAGGCTCCGTGCCCCACCCACCTACCTATTGCGGGCCTACTCTCTCTCTGAATACGTATTCCACGTATTTCCAATCGACCCCTCCTAGGGCTGTATTCTACCCGTATTGGCAGTAATTCCGGCCGTATTCCATACGTATTCCAGAATACGTATTCCAAACGAGGCCCAAAAAGCGACGTATTCCGTATAAATTTTTCTTCGCTCCGCGAATTCAGAGAGTAGGATTTTGCGGGGCCGCGCAGCGAAGCGAAAAATACCCGTTGAGCCCTCTCGCCTCTGTGTGATTTTTGAAGACCAACAAGAAATCACGACTCTCGCAGTGATTTGGGCTCGGCAGCTTGTTAGCCCTCAGCCGAAGCTGGGGCCGGTCCCGTAGCCGAGAGAGCCCGCGCCGATGAGTTCGACGCGGTCGGGGGGGCCTGCGGAGAGGCCAGCGAGTTGGCGATCGCTGTACTTCATGGTGTCATCAAGTGACCGGCTGACAAGCCAGAGGTCGATACTCTGGACGACCCATAGGATGCCACGAATGCCTGGAGGAGAGGGAGGCGAGGCCAGAGGCAGGCTCAGCTGCTCTCGGGTGATCTCGCTTTGGTGGCCGAAGGACCCGATGGTCCTGTCACATTCGTTCGTGGGGTCGTTGGGGTAGAAGAATTCGAGGTAGAATCGAGTCGGCACTTCCTTGTAGTACAGCGGACCGCCAGGCTCGCCGGCAGCATCCGCAGGGAGGCAGCATATGAGGCACCAGTCTTCTGGAGAGCTCAACAGCTGCGGCCGCGGTGGTAGAGTCGGCCGCGGTTCGAGCGAGCAGCTTTTGGCTGCGGGATCGAATCGCGGAAGGCTCATGCCCTCGCGGAGCGACGCGGGTCGCGCGGCGCGCGCGTGTGCGAAATGCGACAAAAGACGAAAGACGACAGGCGCCTGAGCGCTGTACGCCTGAACTTTTGTCGCCGCAATCGACACCGCCGCCATTTTGACGAGCAGCGCGAGCGCGCTCGTCGGCGGCCAGCCGTCGCGGGCCGGGCCGAGCCCGGCCTCAACCGGCCGCGCCGCCGCAGCAGGCCCGGAGGCCCACATGGCGGCCGACCAGCTGATAAGGAGTGCTTAAGTCTTCGCCTCTGTGAACAGGCGGCGCCGCACCCGTCTCGGCTGGCGTCCCAGCCGCAGGCGACACGTCTGGCATGGCCCCGTTCGCGGCTAAACGCGCCGTCTCCCGCGCGAGTGAAGCGGTTTTTTAAACCCCCACCCCCACCCCCACCCCACCACAAAACAAAACCCCAAGAGCGTCCCGCTCCCCGAGCCCGAGTCCCTTCCAGCTACCGACGCGATTCTCAATGGCACTTGCAAATCCACGTACCCGCGGCCGCGGGCGCTCGCTGCCATCAAGAATCACAAGACTGGTACGCGCACCAGGAGCTCGTCAAGGCGCGGGACGTGCACGTCAAGAACAACCCGTCCCTCGGAGACAGCGCCGTCAACAACCGCGAAGCCGCGCGCTTCGTCTCCGCCTCAACGCCTTTCGCCGGCAAGGCCCTCGATGTCCGTGTGCGTGTCGACGGCACGTACGCCACCGCCCTCTCCTCCGACACCCTCCAGGACGAGCTCCAGCGGAAGCTCGGCCTTTGGCTCTCCGTGGCGCTTCCCACCCTTCGGGTCGCGCTCGAGCGGGGCATGCCAGTCGATTTCTTCGGCGACTACCTTTACAACAAGGCCCACCACCGGCGGCCCCACGACGGCGTCCTCGCCGCCTGGGCGGACGCGATGCGCGCCCCGGCCAACGCGCCGGTCGTGCACGGTGACAAGGAGAAACCAGAGCTCACCCGGCAGTACAACAAGGGGTACAAGGTCGACCTCGCGGACCCCACGCTGGCCCGGGAGGATGCGATGAGGTGAAAGAAGTCAAGCTCTGGACGCCCCTCCTCAAGACCTCCTCGGCGGGCGTTGGCAACGCCTCGAGCGGCGGCACGCCCGCCTCCGTTGGCCACTCCTACGCCTTCGGCAACACCGAGGAGAAGGCCCGCCGCCTAAACATGGGCTGCAAGGCGCGCGGGCAGCCCGGCCAACCCTTCTCCCACAAGACCGGCCACGGCTACGTCAAGGCGCATCGCGGTTTCTACCACGACGCGATCTTTGTCAAGCGCAACAACTTCAACCTGCTGCTCCACGAGACGTTCGGCGGCGGCTTCTCGCCCACCGCCGTTCTCAAGCTGCGCCGCCTCGCGCGCAAAGTCGCGCGCGGCAGCGTCGACCGCACGGCCTACTCGCCCAAGTACTCGCTCTCTTTTATGTCCCACCATGCAGAGCGTATCTCTCTCTCTGTTGTGCGAGGCGTGAACCGCGCCATTCGCTCTCACCTGGCAACCCTGTCTGCACGTCTCGCGCGCGCGTGAACAGGGCTCCAGGCCCCAAATGACGTGTGAGTGTTAGAGTTGTTTGGTATTGGTCGTGCGCGGCCTTGTCCGCTGCCTGTCCCCGCAACTTGAGCTGCCCCTGCACGGCGACCATCGCGTTGGCGGTCTGCGCAGCAAGCTTGGCCGCCTTCGCCGATCTCTCTCGCTCTGCCGCCGCCGCCGCGTCCACGGGGCGGTCCGTCAGCGGGTCGTCGCGCAGCCGCCCATCGGCGTCGGCAGCCTCGATCATGGCAGCGTCGGCAGCCTCGCTCATACGGGAGCGCAGAGACCTGAAACGGTCCGCAGCGCCCGCCGAATTCGAAACGTCCGCAGCTCCCGCCGATCTCCCGCTAACGGATCTTACCCCGCCGTAACCTCTCTTTAAGGTATTGCTAAAAATCTCTCTCTCCCCACCACCACCACCTACCTACCTATTGCGGGGCCCTCTGGGGCGGTCAAACCCGGACCTACCTACCTATTGCACAGGGGCCAGCCAGTGCTCACAGACCCCCTATCTGGCTAGGAGCCGGAACCCAGTGCGCGCTACTGCCCGGGAACTTGGAGCACTTGGAGTGCAGTTATCAGCCTCACATCCAGAGAGAGAGAGAATTCTTGATACGAAACCACGACGACACACACCAGTCGACTCGCATCGGTTGCCTCCATGAACGGCGGAGCTATTCTCGCGCCCACACCACACCTGGCTCCAACGTGGACACGCCCATAGCTGGGGACACTACTAGGTCACGCATGGCATCACAGAAGTTTTATCTCTGGGCCCCGAAAGGCATCTCTAGCAGTGTCGTTACACATGCCCCCTCCCCTCCTGGGCGCATGCGCCTCACGTCTCGCCAGAGCATAAGCCCTTGGCGTGTGGCGAGACGAGTTTTTCGCCATCGCAGCGAGCAGCAAGCCGCCCGCCGCAAACAGCCGGAGGCATCGCCACGGCACTGACTGCGCCGCGATCCCGCACCCGTCGACGAAGCTCCCCCCGCGGAAGACCGCGCGTAGCGACGCCTTGACTCTCTCTCTCTCTCTCTCTCTCTCCTCACATCCAGGGCCGGCGCGCAGGAAAAAATCTTTTCGATCGACCAGCCTCTCCGTCGCCACCGCCTCCCTCACCACCCGCCGCCGACTCGCCTCCTCGCAACATTTGTTCTCAGGCTTACCTCCATGCCGGACCTGACGACCGCCACGGACGAGGCCAAGGCGAAGCGGCGCATGGAGATCGAGGCAAAGCTCAGCGACTTGAGGCTGCAGCAGGCCAAGGAAACAGAGCAAAAAGCGGCCTTCTTTGGCGAGCACGCAGGCATCACCTGCGACGGCTGCGGCGTCGCCATCATTGGATACAGGTACAAGTGCAAGGACTGCAGCAATCACGACGTACGTGCGCGCCTCGCCCCGTCCGCCCTGTGCTCCCACGAAGCCAGGCACGCCTTGCGAAATAAAGGTGTGCGAGAACTGCTACGACACGCACCTCTCCGGACGGGTGAACAACAGCCTCGGGAAGCAGGTCATCAGCAACAAGGTGGAGGACCACCGCTTTGCGCTGCACAAGGACAAGGGCTTCACGCCGCTCGTAAAAAAGGCGCGGAGCGACAGCGCCATAACCAATCTCAACCCGCACCACTTGACGCGGCATCCGCCGTCGTAGGCGCCAGGGCTGACTGAGGCGAAGTCGGCACGGGTGAAGCCCAACGACCCCTGCAGTTGCGGCAGCAACAAAAAGTTCAAGAAGTGCTGCGGGGCTGGTAAAGCGGCGTAAATTTTAGCGACCACATTACGTACCCGCTTAGCATTGAACGACGTTTTTCGCGGTCCTCGCTGTGACTCCCCAAGATAATATCTTAGAAGATATTGCCCTCCCTCTCCCTGCGGCGTGTGGCTGTGCCTGTGTGCGCTGGTGGGCGCAGGTGACGAGGAGGCCGCGCCCGCGGGGACGCCGCTCGCCGCGGCCGCGCGGCGCGCTGAGGCCTGACCCTGAGCGACCGCTCTTGTGGGGGTGCGGGGTGGGGACTGGGCACTGGGGGTGCGGGGTGGGGTTTGGCGCTCGTCACACAAACGTCTCTTTCGAGACTTGCAGTGGCCAGTGCGCTTCTCGTATTCTCGTTCAACCCGCTGCTGCGGCCGCACACACGCGTCACGCCGGCGCCACCCGCCGCACCGCCCCACCTCGCCTCCCAGCTCCCACACGCGTCACACGCGTCACACGCGGCAGAGGGGCCTTCTCTGGCACTGCTCTCGGTGGCACAGCGTACAGAGGGTTTAGGGTCGCGGGCTCCAGGCTGTGGCCTGGGCTTGCTTTTGGTCTTGCCCCGCGCTGTTTAGCACTCCATGCGCTCCCCACACACGCCCCTCAGGGTGCTGGCATGCTCTTGCCTCTCAGAGCGCCTTTGCCGGGGGCGAGCAGTTGAGCCCCTCGTGTCTCCAGGGGCCGGGGCCGGCGAGACCCTTGGTGAATCGTCCATTCAGGCCAAACGTCTCCTCTTTCCAGTGAACCGTCCTATACAGGTTGCCAGTGTTGTACGAGTGCTGTCCCGAGATTGGGTTGATCTCCGTCGCACGCTCGCCGACCCTCCAGCTGCTTGCCATGTATCTTGGGTTCGATCTGTCGAACGGCGCGGGGTCTCTTCTGTCCACAAGCACGGTGCGGCCGAGGTGGCCTTGGAATGCCCACGTCTTGGACACTGGCGTGAGCTGAGCGGAAGCCTCGTCGCCAGCCTTTGCACGCCGCACCATCGATTGCAAGTTCCGAAGGTCGTTGGCCAGGCCCCGGTCTTCGATTTGTGCCTTCTTGTCTGCCATTTCTCCCGATCGTCTCAAGACGACGGCCGGCCGTGGCGGAGGAGGGCCGCACGAAACGGCAAAGGACCCGCAAATACTATGCCCCTGGTGAGCTGTGAACTACGACGCGCTCCATGTCAAGAACGGAATCGTCAAAATTTGTCTCGTCGAAAGCCAGGGCGGCATCGCGCCGCCAACCAAGAGAATCATCTTCAACTTCGCCAAAGAGGTCGGCAGCCCGAGCGCCGTCGACCGCACCGACTACGGCACAGCCTCCGGCAGCGCCCGGGGCTTCGCCCAACACCACTCGCAACAGCTCTCGCGCGCCGCCGTCAGTGGCGATGCGCAAAACATCAACAACGCTGCTCGCAACATGCGTGTCGCGCACTCATTCATGACCGGTCTCAATGCCCCACCCCCCTGCGCGCGGGCCTTCTAAGCCCGCGGGTAGTCCCCCCCCATCCCCAGGGCCTCCCCAGGGCTCGCACCTCAACCTCTCACAGGCCAGCGCACAGCGCCATAGGAGGTATTTTCTTCTCAATAACAAGGCTGTGAACAGACGCAAATGCCAGTGGGACGACCGCGAGGTGGCATGAAGGTTGCAGCGAGAAGCGGCGAGACTGCGAAGAGAGATAGGAAGAGGCGGACTCCCTAGGGTGGGCGACGGCTAGCGCACCACACACCTCTCCTTAAAATCCCTGTGTGGTGGCGGCGTGCCGTCCTCGTCCCATCCCTCCCTTGGGTTGTCTGAGTTTTCTTTCTTTCTTTCTTACTCTGGGCCGGCGCGGGGCCCCCAGAGGGTGTCCATGCGGGGGGAGATGGGCTCCCACGGCCCGCCGCAGGCGCCGATTGTTTCGGGATTTTTTTCTTTTTTTGCGCGATTTTTACTTGTTTTCATGGGAATTCTGCGTACTTGCGGCCATGCTATCACGCCTTGCGACAGCCTGTCGGCGCTGCTGACCGTGCCATGATGCACAATTGATCACCTGCATAGCTCGCGGCCTTAGTATCAAGCATTCAGTGACGACCTGATCCTACGACCAGTAGGAAGGTGTCCTTCCATCGTGTGCACGCTTCTGGCGCAATGCGCGTCGCCTCGGATTGGCTGCTGGCACTCTCGAGGCTATGCCTACACAGCCTCGCGCGCATGGGCAGTCAGGAGGGACCACGCACCTTCACAGGACAGCGCCGGTGCCTCTCTCTTGGACTGGCAAACTTGGTGGTCTCGTGTCACCAATGTGGGACCAGTGCGGCATCGCGCCATCGACAGCTCTGAACTGCGCCTCACCACTGACCGGGAAGGCCGCCAAGTGGGCCAGCACAGGTCGCATATTGTGGCAGCAGTCAGCAGTGCATGTCTGATAGCTAGAGCTGCAGCGTCAGGGTCGCAGGGTCGGATCGTGTCAAGCCTCTCACCCGGCCGGCCGCGTGCAGACGCGTCGGCCTGTCTGCTGTCTGGAGTGATCTGTCGGCGGTCAGTACGACCGATCAGGTTAGAGTTATCTGATGGTTGGAGGGTCTATCTGTATGTACTCCTCGAGATCTCTCCGAATCTGCCCTCTGTTAGACCGGGTTAGATCGGGAAGTCGGTAGTATGAGCGAGTATGAGCGCCGGAGCCCCGTTTCCGCACTGCTGCGCGGCGCACGGTGCCTCCGGGGGCCCCCGCGCCGGCCCAGAGCTTTCTTAGACGCAAATGCCTTCCTTCCCAAATCCGCTAGGTTGGGCGTTGGGCGTGCTTTCACAGCCTCACAGTAAAACTTACCTTACCTGTAGTAACCTTATTATTTCACCTTCTTTATTTAATTTTATTGCGGGGCTTGCGCGCGCGTCCGGGGCTCTCTCTGTCCGGGCGCGCGGCGGCGCAGGTCACAGCTCCGCGGCGGCGCCTTCGTCGTCGACGCGGGTCCGCTCGAGGGGCGCGTCGAATGAGGAGAAGGCGACGGCGGTGGCGGCCACCTGCGCGGTGCGACAGGCGGGGTTGAGGCTTTCCCGGCTCGCGAGAGAGGGGCGGTCGCGTCGCGGGGCCGGCACCAGCGCCAGCAGCACGAGCGTATCGCCGCGTATGTCCATCGCACGACCCGGCATCTGCAGGTCGTATGCAGCAGCGCTCTGGCAGATAGGGACGAGCAGCGCCGAGAAGAGGTTGCCTGGGCGCGGGCGGCTGGCTCAGGGCAGCCAGGGGCGCTGCCGGGCGGTCGCTGCTTGGGTGTGGGGCGTGGGCAGGGGGTTGGGGCGGCGGGGCGGGCGGGTGCCGGCGAGCTGCTGCGTCGCCTCGACGGCATTCTAGGAAGTGTCTAGGAAGTGTCTAGGAAGTACCGGCGAGCTGCTGCGTCGCCTCGACGGCATTCTCGTCGCACGGGTAGGACACCTGGAGGTGGCACGGGGGTGGCGCGAGGCGGTAGGCGGTAGGCGGTAGGCGAGGG